AAAAAAAAAAAAAAAAATACTTGGAAACGCACAAAATTAGAATCGCTCAAAGTATCATTACAAAAAAATGGTAAAAAAGAACATATACGTGTCGAGACATTTGTTAGGAACGTTCGATTCATTGCTATATCGTGTGTACGCGGAATCCGCACTCTGAATCAGCAAGTTTTTCAATTAACCCCGCGAAATGATATAAAGTTAACAAGGGCCGGATACTTTAAAGAGCCACTTATTTTGCATCGTTGCATTTTTATTCGCCCGCGCTTCGCGTACTATCGGGAGGAACTTTTCCATTAAAACCTGCCGCGAAAGTTGCTGACGACCATCGATAAGACGCTCTGACGTAATTAATAGCGGTCGCAACGAAAGATGGTTAAGTTGACGACGAACGGAGGGAGGGAATAATAGCTAAGAAGCTCGAAGTGTGGTGGCACGCTCGAAAATAACGCAAAGTCGAGAAATCATTTTTATTTCGAATTTTTATACAAAACAATGAAAAAGTTTTAATCAACATCTCAAAAGTAACTTTTTGAAATAAAATTATTTTATAGTTTTAGCGATGATTTATATGCGAAGCTTCGAAAGTGATATAGAAAATAGAATGAATGACGGAATCTTGTTAACAATTTTATCTGATCTTCAACTTAATCACCGAATCTCCTCAATCATTTAATTCAATAGACGTTTATTCCAAAAATTGCTAATTTCCAGTTTTGTTTCATAGACATTTTTTCTGGAATATCTGGCATAAGAATATAACGCCAAGTAAAACAGATGCAGAAAAAGATCTTAATTTACAACAAAGTTTCCTTATCTTGATATAATATACGCGCTTATTACAAAACTGTAATAAATTACCGAGACATCCCCTGCATTTTTAGCAAAAATTCTCGATGAAGGATCGCCCGGGGTGGATTGGCCGTTAATCAGAAGTAAGGGGCTACTGATTCAGGAATTTTTAATGGTCGATCTCCCACCACTCTCGGCGTTCTCTCACCGATGAAAACGCCGTCGATTAATTCGGGGATGGCGACATTTTTGCGAAGAAGTTCTTTCTTAGGAAGACAATGCCGGGAAATCTCGGAAGTTACAAAAGGGAGGACCGGACAAAGGGTGCGAGAGTGTTGGAACAAAGAATAGATAACGTACCGAGCAAAAACAGTGGGGCAGAGAAGAACCTCTGCGCCCACCTCGTGAGCATCATTCCGTACTGAGGCTTTCATTTTTGGCGAGAAAAATTATCTATCAAAAAGAGGAAGAAAAGGTTCACTTCTCTCTTATCTCACGAGAAGCAGTCCTTTCGCCTTAATCAGTTCTAGATAAGATAAAATCAAGAACAAACTCTTGGCTATTTAGTTAAGAATCTTTTAATGGAATATTCTAAATATCTACATTGTTTCGAACTATCAGATACTTGGACTATTTGTAGTAAATTTTTAATAATTTAAAACAAAGAGAGTAATCTTTGAGGAACTGATCAAAGATCGATTGCATATCTTTAACAACAAATAATGGAGGAGATATGCAAGAGTGGCGAAAAGCAAAAAGATAAACGGGAAAAGAATAGCTAAAAGGAGATGGGAAGGAGAGGGATGAGCAACGAAGGAGCGTATTTAAAAAAAAGAAAAAAGAATTTCTTCCTCTCGCGAGGCGCGCAACGAAGACCCGCGCCGT